TTGATGGGGTTGAACTCCAAGAGCCAGTTGCTGGCCCAGGCCTGCAGCCTGTCCAGATCCCTTTGTACTTCTGTCTGGTCCTCGTCCGATTGAATTCTTCTCACCAACTTCACATCATCTGCAAACAGGGACACTTCTGAGTCTATTCCTTCCGTCATGTTCACAAATACCAGAAACAGCACCGGTCCTAGGACTGATCCTTGTGGAACCCCGCTCGTCACAGGCACCCGCTCTGACACCTCGCCACGTACCATGACTAGTTGTCTTCCTGACAGGTATTCCCTGATCCATTGCAGTGCCTTCCCTCTTATCCCTGCCTGGTCCACCAGCTTTTGCACTGATCTGTGTGGAACTGTGTCAAACGCCTTCTTAAAGTCCAAGAAAACGTGCTTGTTTAAGGCATTAGAATGGGCGGAGACTACAGGAAGAATTTACAAACAACACTTGTGTATTACCAACTGTGACCTCACAGCCCCAGCTTACATGGTATATAGTATATTCTTATACCCCTCGTTATTATTATAATCATGGGGAAGTGCTAAACCCGTAGGATTATTCAGCGCCTGTGGGGGGGGATGGAAGGTATTCAGGCTCAATTCAGGGAACTGGAGCACAGATCCAATTCCGTAGACCAAGAGCCGCCTCACCAGCGTCAAGGAACCTACCCTCTAGGTATTATACCCTTTCGAAAGCCAATTGAGATTATTACGCACCATGAAAAGCACCCGAGGCTGTGGACAGTGATAAAGTTTGCGTCACAGTCGGTCGTCCAGAATGCGTCTATAAAATGCTTCCTGTGTAAGGTTTATGGCATAGTTGTACAGAGTTGGGCCTGTGCTACTGTATAGAACTGTGGGTCAGTCCATTCTGCTCTTTTTTTATTCCTATACAAACATTAAACACAAATATATTAAACATTTTGCATGATACAGACGGAACCGCTACCAGCATAAATAAAACAAAGACGGTGTATATTATTTATAATAACAAAGACTCTGGTAGGTTAAAGTATAATAATAATTTAATAAGTAAAAATATTAATATTATATTAGTATTATTAAATATCATTTTATTATAGTTATACCTTGGCCCTACCATGAGTTTTCTCATTGTTTTTGTTTTCCACTTGAGTGGATTCGTTCGATCTCCCGCGCTCCCCCACAAAAAAAAAAAAAAAAAAGACACACGTACGTACAGTATGTCCTACAAGCCCCCCCCGGCACACACGACGTCTACAGTATTGATCTACAAGCCGCCCCAGCCCGCTCTCTGGCACGTACTACGTCTAAGTCTACTCTAGCCCCCCCACACACACGTACGTACAGTATGTCTACAGCCCCCCCACACACACACACGTACGTACAGTATGTCTTGCAGCCCCCCCACAGACACACGTTCGTTCAGTATGTCTACCAGCCCTAAGCCCGCCCGCTCACGACACACTACGTACAGTTGAATTGGTCTACCAGCCCCCCGCCACACTCCTACGTACAATATGTCTATCCAGCCCACTCCCACACACTCGTACTACAGTATGTCTACCAGCCGCCCCCACACACACACCGTACGTACATCTATTTCTACCACCCCCGCCACACAACTACGGTACAGTATGTCAAACCAGCCCCCCCCCACACACACACGTACAGTACATCACCAGCTCGCAAACACGAGACTGTAAATACAAATACCTGTACTTCATCTTATTAACTACGACCACACTCCCAAACCTCTGGGACAGAATTTGGTTACTAATCACGACCGGTGTTTAGGTTACCCCTCAGGACCAGTGTTTAGGTTACTACTTACAACCAGTATTTACGTTACTACTCAGGCCAAGTGTTTCGATTGGAGATAAAACCTCTACCCAGGAGACGTGTTTGTTTCCTTACCTTCTTCCCTAACACTGACGCACATTAAAAGTCATCATGATTTCTTATAGAAGTTTTCTTCTCAGAAAATATGGCAACTTCGAAGTGGAGGTCAAGGAAGGTCATGTGGGTTTTAAAAAAGTCCTGGCTCCAAGAGGTCAAGGCTCTTACCAGCTGTGCCATACTGCAGTCGTTCTGCCAGGCTCTTAATGCACAGATTCTTGAAGCTATTTTTTCTCTTAGATTTTAGCTAACCTCAACTATCTTGCCCTCACGGTAACCACCACATGGATATTTCTAAGGTTCGCAACTTATCCATGTCTTCCTTTACAATTCCAATGTTCAACATCTCAGTCAATTTTGTAATTGTTTTTATGGGGGAAGCGCTAACATGACCGCGGGTTCAAACCCCACCCGTGGTATGGTTTGGAAGCGCTAAACTCATCAGGTTCATAAGTTCCTGGAAATGGGAGTAATCAGGTGAAACTCAGGGGAGAAAGTTGAAATTCCTTGCATCAGGAGTCCCTCAGTATCAGTTGTACTTATTACAACAGCCCCCTTAAAGCACAAATTGTTAGTGGGCAACACTAGGTTGTGGTGTGTATTCACCTGTCTACCGCCTACTACAGGTTATCATGGGTGGTGGTCGTCGTGTACTGACGCCCAGCGACGTGCTTGACGTGGAGGAGAGCCGGTACGGCTTCAGAAAGGATGGCAAGAACCTTATCAACATGTGGATAGACGACAAGGCTAGTAGAGGGGTGCGAGCCTCGTACGTCTGGAACAGGGACGACCTCCTGGCCCTCGACACCTCCAAAACTGACTACCTCCTAGGTGAGTACCCTGATGAGTGAATGGAGAACCGAGTTACCAAAACTCTCCCTTTCAAAGACGAGACAGGCTAAATCCGTAAGGGTGATACGGCGTCTGGGGGAATGGAAGGCTTTCAGACTCGATTCAAGGAACTGGAGCAGAGCATCAAGGAGCCTCCCTTGAGGGGTAGTGTATGATGTGATGTAGGTTCCATCAGCTAGCATGAAACAAACATGCCATGTAATTCGAATATCCATTATTTTCACTTTTTTCTCACGTGACTTCAGGACTGTTTGGCTACAGTCATATGGACTACGTGGTGGAGCGGGACAGTGCCATGGACCCCAGCCTGCCGGAGATGACCAAGGCTGCTCTTGAGGTCCTACAGAAAGACCCAAATGGGTACTTCCTCCTCGTTGAAGGTGAGGCTCAACATGCTAGGAGGTTCGGTGTTATTCCTTATGGAAGGGTTTTATGATATATTTAAGGTGTCAGGTCCTCTATAGGAGTCATCGTGTTTGGAAGGCGAAATGGTGGCAAGTACAGTACGTCTTTAAAGATTGTTCCATTATAGTCTTTCTCAGCACAAAGATACACATAGCAGAGCAAAACCCATTTTATTACACTAATACAGGTACAACGGAAGCTTAGCCATGGCATTGTACTACACAAGATCCAACACCTGAATCACGAAATCGTAATAACAGTTGCAAACAAATCACCTTTGAAACCATAGATTTTCTCCATTTTTCCATAATAAATTTACCCAGGTACGTAGATAACAGAATTTTGGAATCAATGGAATGTTATTTATGGAGTTTGTCATTGTTCGGATTTTGACCATTAAATCATGAAAAAATATTGAAACAAAAGTATACATTATAGTCATAACCAAACTCTAAACCCGTCAAAGTGAAAAAAAAAGTTCGGTATCATGGTTTTATAAAACACCTGACCTGTGACCTCAACCTACAGGCGGCCTGATCGACTTGGGTCATCATGGGAACAAGGTGCAGAAGGCACTGTCGGAGACCGTGGAAATGGCGGAGGCGGTGCAGGTGGCAGTGTCCATGACAAGCCAAGAGGACACACTGGTGGTGGTGACAGCTGACCATGGTCACTCACTCACCATCAATGGTTATCCCACTAGACACACTGATATCCTTGGTAAGAAAACACCTCCTCTAGTAACCCCTACCCATTTCCTCTTTGATAATACACGACGTTTCGGTCTGACTTGGACCTTGGTCCAAGTCAGATGGCAACGTCGTAAATTTCCCTCTATGTGCGGTTTGTGTATTGTTACAGTCAAGTATTGTGTCTTTTCATTCCTCTTTCATACTTTTGTAGGAATCCCTTTAATGAGAAAGTTTTAGTTCAGCAGGATGATCATTCATGAGAAAGTTTTAGTTCAGCAGGATGATCATTCATGAGAACCTTCCACTTCGGGAACCTGACTTTCTGACTCGCGAAATAGTAATGACTTTGATCTAAAAAGTACACTTGTAACCTGGAAAATCTTTTCCCTCTAGAACACCAAAAAATGCCTAGTATTTATTATATTTTGCGATTTAAAAGTTTTAGGGTAAGTCTGAAGCCTTTTAAAAAATTTCTAAGACTTTTCAGACAGAACATTAAAATGGTATAAAATACCGACAGATTGTTAGGTAAGACACATATGCAACAGTTAGGTATCTTTATTTCGAAACGTTTCGCCTACACAGTAGGCTTCTTCAGTCGAGTACAGAAAAGTTGATAGAAGCAGAAGATACTTGAAGACGATGTAATCAGTCCGTCACCCTTAAAGTTTTGAGGTGGTCAGTCCCTCAGTCTGGAGAAGAGCATTGTTCCAAAGTTTGAAACAATATTGTTTCAAAACTTTGGAACAATGCTCTTCTCCAGACTGAGGGACTGACCACCTCAAAACTTTAAGGGTGACGGACTGATTACATCGTCTTCAAGTATCTTCTGCTTCTATCAACTTTTCTGTACTCGACTGAAGAAGCCTACTGTGTAGGCGAAACGTTTCGAAATAAAGATACCTAACTGTTGCATATGTGTCTTACCTAACAACTTTTCAGACAGCATTATGTTAAAAGTGAATAATAATAATAATAATAATAATAATAATAATAATAATAATAATAATAACAACAACAATGACAGAAGTCTGCGATATACAGTATCTCCTGCACTTTAGTCACAATGATCTCTTCTGACCCCACCTACACTTAACTTCTCTTTACCTTCCAGGCATCGGCGACATTAGTAGCGAAGATTTCTTGCCCTATACCACACTACTTTACGGGAACGGTCCAGGTTTCCAGCCGCAGGTCAACGGCCATAGACCAGATGTGTCCAAAGATGATCTGAGTGAGTAGTAGTGATAGAAAGCGAGAAACTGGGAAGGAGGGAGGGCGATAGGAAAGAGGAGGAAATGTGACAAAAAAAAAAAAACTAGACTAACATTCACCAGTCCTTTAGTACACAGCGCCAATGTGGAAGCCTCATCTAGGAACCCACAAACAAAAGAAACTTGAGAACATTCAGAAGTACACCTCCAGACAAAAGGACAAAGGCTGGAGCCAGAATGAGAGATGAACATCAAAATGGTATACAATACCGACAGGTTGTTAGGTAAGAACCTAACAACCAGAATGAGAGGTTGAGACCAGGACAATGGGAAATGCAAGTCATTGGACTAGAACAAGGGGAAATGCAAGTCATTGGACTAGAACAAGGGGAAATGCAAGTCATTGGACCAGGGCAAGGGGGGGGAACACAAGGAGAGGGACCAGGGCAAGAAGGGAACACAAGGAGAGGGACCAGGGCAAGAGAACAAAGAAGGACTGGGACCTGGATTAGGGAATGCAATTGATAGGACCAGGATTGAGACAAGGAAAGACCAGGATGAAATGACACACAAGGAGACCAGGACGAGGGGACACAGATGTTGGAACTAGCACATGTAAAAAAATAGTGAATGTACCGTGTAAGGAAATAGTAGAGGCGAACTCCCTGTCCAAACTCAAGTGTAATATAACCGTATTCCATGAGCCTAGTTAACCATCATAAAAAAATATTTGTTGGTTTACTGGGGCAGGGCCTAGTAACCAGGACTCGGTTCCAGCAAACACACAGTAGAATCCACACAATGAAACAAAAAGACAAATATTAAAGAATATCTTTGGTCAAAATGATAGGGCGTGGATTTTATTGAGGTGTACAGCTACGTGTTTACATGTAATGCCTAAAGTGCGTGAGGTTGTGTATAGCAAGAACATGATGAATCACACATTTATGCAACACTTCGGTATCTTTGTGGAAACGTTTCACCAATCAATGGCTTCCTCGGTCCAGTACAGAGAAGTATGGTTGAAGATGAGAAGGAGTTTGAGATAATCAGTCCCTCAGCCTGGAGTTGATGTGGTCAGTCCATCGATCTTGGTAAGAATACAGCATATGCTACACTCTTTTCAAGACTGATGGATTGATCACATCAACTCCAAGCTGAGAGACTGATTTCCTCAACCTCCTCCGGATCCTCAACCATTCTTCTCTGTATTGGACTGAGGTAGGCACTGGTAGGTAAACAGATTTGATTCAAAGAACATAAGAAAGGAGGAGCACTGCAGCAGGCCTACTAGCCAATGCCAAGCAAGTTCAACTCACACCCATTCATGTACTTGTCTAACCTATTTTTAAAGCTACACAAGGTTTTTGCTTCAGTGATGCTACTCGAGTTTATTCCACTCATCCACAACTTTATTACCAAACCAGTGCTTTCCTATATTTTTTCTAAAATTTATTTTTTTCCAACGATATAATAATAATAATGGGGGAGCACTAAACCTGTAGGATTATACTGTGCATGTGGGGGGGATGGAAGGTATCCAGGTTCAATTCAGGGAACTGGAACACAGATCCAATTCCCTAGATCAAGAGCCCCTCACCAGCATCAAGGAACCTCCCTTGAGGGGTTTCAACTTGAACCCATTGCTGCGAGTCCTGTCTTGGTAAGATATTCTTTTAGCACATTATTTGTATCCCCTTTATTCCCGTTTTCCATCTATACACCTCAGTCATATCCGCCCCCCCCCCCCCAATTCTACGCCTTTTTAGAGTGTGAAGATTCAGTGCCCTCAGTCTATCCTCGTAGGAAAGATTTCTAATATAAAGGGATCAACTTTGTCATTCTTCTCTAAGTTTTCCAGTGCATTTAGTCCATTCTGTAATATGGTTACCTAAACTCACAGCATAATCTAAATGATGGCTCTAGTTCCTTGTGTCAAAAGCCCTTTCTACTATAAAATTATGTGTTTTTCTAAGGATAAGCTAACTGGATAAACTAAGAAACCACTTGTGTTCCTCAGTGGATGTCAACTACCGCCATGCTGCCTCTGTGCCTCTCGACTCTGCTGCCCACACTGGTGACGATGTTGGTCTGTACGCCATAGGGCCTCATGCCCACCTCTTCACAGGTGTCCATGAACAGAGCTACATTCCCTACGCCCTTGCCTATGCTGCCTGCGTCGGGGACGGCCTCACTTTCTGCGGTAGCAACCGCTTCCGAAGAAACCATGGTCTACTGCCAAGCAACAGAGGGCAAAGCAAATTGCGGCAGCGGGGATGATGATTACTTACTAAAAAAGGCAATCCCTGATTGGTAAGGGAGGCACCATAGATGCTTCCTATTTCTGAGACAGCTGCAGGTGGACGACGTGTGTGTGGAAAATGATTGGCGAGAGTGAATGGTCTTGATTGGTCAAGAATGTCGAGTACAAACTTGACATTTGTTTTCTATACCCACCAATCACATTCAACATTGGAGTTTAAGACATTTATTTTTCATTTCGTCGTGTACAGTCTTTTGCAACTGAAATCACATATATTGTACATCAAAATTACCCTGCCATCACTTTCAGAACATTCCACGATTAAAAAAATATGTAAATGAAGATGTTGAAAGGCCTCCTCCAACTGTCTCCCTTCAGACAAAACACAAAGATGACACAAAGTCACCAAGACTTCAAAAATGCTCTTGCCTTCGATTATATAAAAAATATTTATACAAATTTCTATTGCCATGGCTCCCGGCCTGGACACACTATCTATAAAAAAATAAAAATAAATAATTATATAATCAATTAACCACGGGAGGAGTGGAATGATAGCTCTAGGCCTTTAGTGTTGCAATCAAAACATCAGGATCTTGCAATGTTGCAGAAACAAGGTGGTGGTCCAAGCACTCACTCGCAGGAAGTGCCCTTGCTGTAGTAAGGGAGCTCTTGTGGTTGTGGTTGCTTGGATCCCCTCCTCTTTTCTGCAACACTGCAAGCTCCTGATGTTTTGATAGCAACACGAAAGGCCTAGAGCTATCATTCAACTCCCCCCGTGGTTGTTTTGCATCTTGTATCGCTTGTTTGCGATTTTTGCATAATACATATATATATATATATATATATATATATATATATATATATATACATGTATATATATATATATATATATATATATATATATATATATATATATATATACATGTATATATATATTATATATATATATATATATATATATATATATATATATATATATATATACATGTATATATATATTATATAAAATATATATATATATATATATATATATATATATATATATATATATATATATACATGTATATATATATATATATATATATATATATATATATATATATATATATATATATATATATATATATATATTATACATATGCCTCGGTGGGAGACAGCCGACTTGTTAAAAAAAAAAAAATAAAAATAAATAAAATATATATATATATATATATATATATATATATATATATATTATATATATAATATATATATTATATATATATATATATATATATATATATTTTATATTATATATTATATGCATTAAGATCACAGTAAACAGGTGATTTCAAAATATGCAAAACAACCACTCTGAAAGAATAGAGAAATTCCAAGCGCTTTCGTGACTACTCACATTATCAAGGAACTATCAATAGTTCCTTGATAATGTGAGTAGTCACAAAAGCACTTGGAATTTCTCTATTCTTTCAGAGTGGTTGTTTTGCATATATATATATATATATATATATATATATATATATATATATAATATTATATATATATATATATATATATATATAATATATATATATATATATATATATATATATATATATATATATATATATATATATATATATACATATACATATTATAATAATAATATTTATATATATCAAATAAATTTTTTAAAAAAAGTTTATTGTTTTCTTCCTCACTGTATGTCCTGGTCTGCATACCTACCTAACTGTTGAATGTTTCAAGGTCAATGTCTTACTCTCCCAGTCCCAGACCAGACTTCAGACAATTCATTTGCTATAAAAGCTTGAGTATGGGTTTAGCAATTCCCCATGAATGTAATAAAAAGTTAAAAATACTGAATAAATACATCAGCAATACATCATAAAGTGTGTCCGTACGACTCGTGTGAATTTGGTGTACCTTGTGATTAATGAAATTTCATATATTCATGGAAAAAGTTTAATACAGCATAGTGTCATAATATACAAGGTTATTTCTTACCGTTATTGCTTTTGTGTTGCACAGAAGGTAGATGGGCATGCCCAGCGATGTTAGGGAAGGAGAAATTCTAGACTACAGTTTAATAAATGTATGAAAATAACTAAATATAACTATAAATACTCAAATCTTAGAAAGCCAAATATGAAAGTAAACAAAAAGAAACAGCTATATAACTTACTTGGATCTAGCATTTGTTTACGAATATATTAATATTGCAACAGCAAAAAAGAAACTCAGCCTGGGTTGTGTAAACAGTATCTCAACATAAAAAAAACTATGACAAAAAAAATAAAATCACTTACCTAGAGTAGTTTATTCAATATAACAATTGTTTTTTACTCAGTATTGTATGTACTTACTTTTCTATCCATTCTGGCATGTATAAAAATTGCAAGTCCTTATACACACCATGAGTCCTTGAGGTAGTGTGGTGAAGGTAGCTACCCAGGAGAGTCAATACCACCTGTTATCTTCACTGCTCAAGCACAAATCCTTCAAGTCATGATTTACAGTGAAAGCTCAGAGTAAATGTTAATGTTTCTCTGCGTTACTCCTGCATCATGGGGCAGCGAAGGCATCCATGTTTATTGACCATCTTCTTATAAGCCATGTGTAGAACTGACAGCATAGTGGTGACTTATTACAAGTACTGTACAGAGGTGCTTATTATTAGGACAAGTTATCAAGTCCAGTGATGCAGGTTATTACAAGTAAAGAGGGACAAGTTATCATGATACACTAGGAAGAATCTGATCTTAACATCCCAGCAACATTAGCTTCAAGCAAAAGTCAAAGTTCATATTTTGCTGATTTAAAGCCAGGCACACTATCTTTATATTCTTCCTCTCTCACTCTCTCTAATGGCTTGTTTGTGTTTACTTTTTCTAAATTTTTATTTTTTTAATTTTTCCCTAATCAAGTAGCTGGAATTTATTCTCATTTAACATTATAGCATTTTCTGTGGCCCACTGGAAGATCTGGTTTGCATCGGCTTAAAGATTTGCTTTGCCCTCAATGGATGTCACTCCCATTCTGTAAAAACCATCTTACAAACAAGATGCACTTTGGGATATTGTTTGCAATTCTATTGCTTTCCCCATAAACTTCATGTTATGATCAGAGATATGTTTGTAAACCATAACATTCCATATAGTTTTATTTCTGAAAGATGAAATTCAATTTATATGTACAGTAATCAGATGGATTCTTCTCTCATCCCTTTCATCCATCTTTCTCTGCTTCTCTCCTATTCCCTTTCCCATTTTCTAACCTCCCTCTCCCATTCCCTACCTTCCTCTCTCATTCATTCCCACCCTCTCTCATATCATATATGAAATGATGCTCTTTGCATATACCCCTCCCACTGTTGTGGTACAATATATGGTGTAGAAAGATTGTGTAAGCATGAACAGCAGGAGGCCTCCTTCCTCTCTTCCATTTCATCACTTACAAGCAGCAGCAAGACCTCTTTCATTCCCATTCCCTCCTCATCACTTACAAGCAGCAGCAGAATTGCCACCCCCTCCTCATATCCAGCACAACACTCGGTGTTGGTGATGGGGTAATTGCATGCCTGGGCTTCAGTTATGTAAGTTGATTATTATGTTCCTGGGAAGTGCTAAACAAAAGGGGGGGTCATACAGTGCCTGGGGAATGGGAGATAATCAGGTTTGAACAAAGGGGAGGATAGCATCAATTCCTTGAGTGAAAAGTTCTTCACTGGCATCAAGATATAGTCTTCCTTGAAAGGTGAGTAAAATGACCTGCAGAATACTGACCACACACGACACAATTGGCCTACTGCTGAAGAAACCAATGTAACAATTACATCAATTACTATCGGCAAATCTATCAAATATGAACTCACTACACATGCATAACATCCACAAAATATGATTCCAGTACAATAAAACACTAACAGAAAAAACATACTACATGTTTTTATAATTCAACTTTAACTACATAAACTGTAATCATTCCTACAGTTTAACTCTCTACCAAGCAAACATGAGCTCTCCTCACACCAACAAAATGAACGCGCATAAAATATCAGTTTGGTGAAAATGAACAGAAAAATGCAGTAATATTTACAGTTCAGCTTTAGCAAAATTCTAATTATTAAATATACAGCTTATTACCAATATTTATCAAACAGATATACGTACATGAAATGAAAACGCACATGAATCAATACTTTTGGTGAAAAATTAACTAGACAAAATGTAATTATAGAATTCAGCTCTAACAAAACTGTAATTACTATACTAAATGTACTTGTCTGACCAATCTCAATTGAACAATTGTGAGCACTCCATGCTTGTATAAAAATACACACAAAAATATGAATGCATTTGATGAAAAAATTATCAAAAATTACTGATAATTTGTTTTAATATTCATAGCCAGGTTCGTAAGAAATTCATTGGCTCCAAAGTGCTTCGTTCATAAGCACAAATATTCCTAACTTAGATAAATATTTGTAACTCGCAAATTCACAAGATGGGGTTTTACTGCACTTCAATTTGTATTAGTGCCTGACGTGAAAATAGTAAGAGAATAGACGAGAGTAATGTACCTTGAAAAACTTTTTATTGTGGAGACTGATATTACTTTGCTGAAAACTTTTTTAGTCTGTGTTCAAAAGCTGATTTTACTTTGCTGATACTAAATTTCTTGGTATAATTTGTTTAAAATTTGAAGAGCTATCTGATCACTTTTCCAGTTACTCCTCTTGCACACATTTTGCACTATTATCACCCTGGTGTCACCACTGAAGGATGACATGTGATGAGAAACTACAACACTGTCTTCAGAAGTTACTTATGGTATGTTCCCCTGGATCCAATTGTCAGATTCATTCTCTTTCTGCCACAGTAAACAGTACTGTATATGACTGGCATGCCGGCAGTAATGATGCTGGGAACAAAATTAAGCAGGATCATTCACTGGGGAATTATGAAGATTTACACAAATAACCTGTACATAGGAGATATGTATCCTGGAGAGAGAAGCTTACAAAGACGTTTTGGTCCAACTTGATATAAGTCGGACCAAAACATTGTTGTAATCCCCCCCCCCTCTCTCTCTCCCCCATGAGTGGGTTATTTGTGTATTGTTCCAGTCATGGTATTGTGCCTTTATGTATATGCTTTAGCTAGCTGCTCCTTCAAGAGGGATGTTGAAGCTTGTGAAGGACTCTTTATCAAAGTAATTGGAGTTAACCTTCCCTTCTTTGGATCAAACCTGATCGCCTCCCATTCTGCAGGTGGTGTATGGCCCTTGTGGATTTAGCTCTCCCCATGAACATATTTTAACCACATGAATAAACCAATGATTTTTTAAATTCAGTCCTACAAAATGTATTGGTTTGAACTTCAACAACAGTTAAGACATGCATAATTAAGGAAAAAAAAAATAAGCATTTAGGTATGTAAATGTTTATATAAGTAGATAATATATACAAAATATACAATATAAAGACTGATTGATAGTATATAATCATGCACTTCAGACATATATATAACCAGATGGAGATACTTGTGCTTGTTTAACCTCTATAAAGTAAGAGATACTTATCAGTGACTTATTTGGTTAAGAAAAAGCTACTTACAAGTCGGACAATTATTCATGAGGAAAGCAACATATACCATGACAAAGGTACTCTTTTTAAAGACAAAACCTACATTTAGGCTTACAATAACAATGGTGATTTTATTAATCAGGAAATAGGATGTACCTTGACCAAGGTACCTTTATGCATTAATGCATATAACAAAGATCCCTTGGCTTAATTTATACTAGATAAATACCTAAAAATCAATAAAGAGTTAACTTATCAGCAGTCAATGAAATTAACATTTATGAAACCTTTCAATGAAATTAACATTTATGAAACCTTTCAATGAAATTAACATTTATGAAACCTTTCAATGAAATTAACATTTATGAAACCTTTCAATGAAATTAACATTTATGAAACCTTTCAATGAAATTAACATTTATGAAACCTTTCAGTCACAAAATAATAACAGACTACACTAATAAAAACTGAAGAGTACCTATTGCACATTTAATTTAAATAAGCATTTGGTGTGATAATATGAAATCCTTTCCACCTGCCTGCTTCACAATTCTTTTATATTTTATCTACACACAGTTTAAATTTTCAATTCTTCACATTACCTATCAATTTTGATTACCATTCCTCACAAAATAAATGCTTATATGTGTTCGTTACGCGTCAAATACAAGGCTTAGTACTGCATTTATATAAAAAGCTAATAGCCACAACTGATAAGATCTGCCGAGCCTTTTCTTCAGCGATAATTTACAGGATGTGAAAAAGAAGTCCTTCAACACATTTGCTGCTTGCCACCAAGGTAGGGCGACTAAAAGGAGAAAACACATTTGCCATAACTCATTTCCTAGTTGTCCTTCCAAAAGTGCAAAGGCAATATACACTTAAAAAAAATAGAGAGAGAAAGACAGTCGACAGTATCATTAATGAGGAAGCTCAGCAAAATATAAATAAAACTGTATGCTTGAAAAATTTAAGTACCCATGTAAAGTAATGTGGAATGATGTAAAGGCAGTGGCTAAGAAGTGGAGTTAGTCCATTTAGTAAATTTAGTCCTGGTAAAATCCATACAAATTGTTGCAGCTTATGACAAGATTCCCTGTATCAACTGGCACTATCAAATGTATTTAATATAATTCTAATGCATGTTTAAAACATGGTGTTATTCATATCGGTCATATGAAAGAAAAAGTTGTGTCTATTGAATCCGATAAAAAAATAAAGCTAAGGTTGTGCCTTGATAATGGTCCAGGATATGCCAAAATATCTTTTCTAAAGTTTCCTCTCTAAATGTGGGTTACTTCTGAACTGTTCCAACCACATTACTGAGACATTTTTCTTTATCTGTGTACTTTGCATTACTACTAGAGATAAAACCTTAAGGGTATTTAGCCTCAGGGGGACACCAAATCCTTAGTATGAGGTATGGTATATTATTGCATGCTGTGAGGTATGGTATACTGTATTATTTTCTACCGTGAGGTATGCTATATTATTGTATGCCGTGAGGTATGCTATATTATTGTATGGCATGAGGTGTGGTATATACCTGTGATTGGTTACAGTGACTCTTCCACTCTTATAGCCCAGCACGAGACTTGCAAGGGTAAAACCAACTTGGAAACTGGTCATGGATGTGTCACTGTACCTCATGAAAAACATTAATATAATATTATTGTCTTCCTAAATCTTCTGCAGCCTTTGCACAATATCAGTGACTGTGACGAACAGGATTACCATACACGATTCTTTAATAATCATTTGCCATAACTATTAGGCAAAATCAACCCGATAGAAAGATAATGAAGTATCTTACAATCTTACCCTAAATCAGACAAGTAACAATTTACCCAAAACCTAATTACAGTGTACACAGTAATCTCTTGTTTAGAATAATATGCACTAGTGCTTGAATTATACAAAATTTTATGAAAGATAATGCAAATTGGATACCCCTCTCCTATTTAAAAAAAAAATGAATTAGAAAGATTTCTTAAAAATAAATATGGAACTTGAGTGTTTACTTAGAATAAAAAATTTAAGATAATTTCCAATTCAAACTTTTAGAAAGCATCATATATCAAAAAATCCAAATTAGAGTTTTTCTAAACAGGAATTCTAAGTTTTTCTTTTAATTTTTAATTTTCTGAATATCAAATATCATTTTAAATTAAAAATGCGTTTTAAAAAATAGAAAGTCAGTACAGTATTCTTTTTAATTTTCTGGGGTAGTGGGGCTCCTTTATCCAAATAAAAAATATTTACAATTATATACCTTTATACTGTTATAAATGGCAACAGTTAGCACTGCAATTTTTAAATGCTTCCTCAGCATTGTCATCAAGTGGGTGATTATCTGTACTAGGCACACAGCTATAAATTTCTGCTTTCTGTGACTGAACATTTTGAGAAAATCTTCACTAAAGAGCACTGCTATCTTGCCTGCTTTCTTAGAGTGCCACTGGTGGTTGCTATAAGAAATAAAGTGCTTACCACATACTTCAGCGTAGGTACAAGTCTAACGGTGACTGACGTTCATTACGATGCAAACAGTGCATAAAAGCTATTATATTATTTCTCCCTCTTGAAAAGTTTGCTTCTTTCGCCACATACACACATTATAGCACCACCCATCTATTTTATATGTGGCAATCTTCTCTTAATCAAAAAATTGCCATTTAATATTGTAATCAGTCTTTTCTATAAACAGTCTGCATGCTTTTTTCTTCTTTCCTCGTGTTTCATTGGCAGTGGCACACAATTCATCCAAGTGACTTGCAAATCTATGTGCAGAATTCCTAAGGTAATTTTTCCAAGTATTACTGGTTGAAGTTTAGCCTCTGTTCTTGTAAAATATGCTCGCAAAATGGCTTACAATTCAAATGACAATATTCTGCATATGTCAAGCTGCTATGAATACGAAAAAAAAAAAAGTGTATAAAAAGTTAATCAAATACTACTCAAAAGCCAAATTATCTCTATAATTACACTATTAATGCCAGGAGTAGGGGGACAGTAACCCCTTCTCCTGTATAAATTACTAAGTGCAAAAAGAAAATCTTTCATTTTTCTTTTTCAATCACCCTGCCTTGGTGGGAGACGGCCGGTGCATTAAAAAAAAATGCACTATTGTATTAAAAGGTAAATACTGCAAATAACTGATCATTGGTTCGGTAACCATAGTAATTGCTTCACATTTGGGAGATTGTGCCATAAATCTTATTACATTTTTACAATTCACACATTTACTTCCATCAGAATGAAACTTTGACACCATTTTTAAGTTCTAGTATATTGTGGGAAACTTACTTCAACATCATTTTTAAAATCCTAGATAATGAGAAATTTATTTCAACAGCACCTTGTCCTTTATCTAACGTTAATCACTTTCAATAATGTTTCTACTAAATCATAGCATTTTACACTTGATGCAATGTCAATGGATGACCTTGAAGACTATGATGACAAATTCATAAATATTTTGATTACATTATTCTAAAACATTTATATAATCTGTAGTAAGTTACACTTTTAAAATGTCAACAATCTTGACACACAAAAATGATTGTATAATAAATATCCTGAAGAACTATATTACATTTTGTTAATATGAAACAGGTTACATACAACAATCTGCCTGCCCAAGAATTTATTTTGCCTCAAATAAATGAATAAAAAAGGCAGCATCTTGTAGCAGCAACAGCATTTGTAACAGCCCAATTGATCAGAAGTGAGGCTGTGAATAGCAGACGGAGACGTGAGCCTCCACTACTCCTTACATTGAACACAAACAGGTTTAGTGCTTCATGAACTACAATCAAGATTTTGTGCTAATACTGTATGTTTCCTCTTGATAATACTTGATGAATATCACGGACTTAATTACAAATTATACCAAATGCTTAACACAAGAAATGAATACAAAAAGCCCTGCAAATACAACTTAACAATAAAAAATGTACAAGGTATGCTACTCATTTGTTAACTGCTGCAGTTAGTTAATATCAGGAGCAACTTTGTTAAAATAGCACCATTTGATTGTGATAGTAATCAAAATATGGAGAGCTTTATCCAGCCAAAAATACTGGCATTTCATATTACTGAGCACTAGTGCACAGTATGGATATATTAATGTTTAGCAGATAAAATTCCTGAACAACTACAACTGTCTCACTGGGTTAACAAATGATACTTTTTCTAATATTATACTAACAGAACCTTGTACAGACCCATACTTCTGTTGCTCTGTTGGAGACTTCAACTCACATTTTGAACCCTGTCGTCTGAGGCAGAGTGGTGAAGGTTTCAATTTTTCCTTACTACTATCTTTGATTTCTTTTCCATTCTCCTTATTTTCTTTGCCTTCCTTACTGCTAGCTATTTTCTTAGCTAACTCTGTCTCTCTAACTAGTTTGCTTTTTTCTGTGTGAGGTAATCTACATCTAGACTTTCCTGGAGAGTCAAGGGTGACTAGCTCTTTGCTATGTCCTGATGTGATGGACTCTTCTGTTTTGTTTAGGGTGTTCTTATTATTTTCTTTGTTTAAAAATTCAGACTTTTTCCATGGACTGACACTGTCTCTCCCATGATGTGAGGAGCTTCCACAACTACCACCATCTACATCTCTAGCTAAGTGCATGGAGGAAGTACTAGGTGCATATAAATCAGATTCTCTAATAAAGCGAATAGAAGACACACTGGGACTGCTGGACTGTGTTGAAACATCTTTACTGCAGCTGGCACTTGTACTACCTGGAGATACTGTGGCAGACACCATGACAGTGTGTGAAGTGCTTTCCTTACTGCTACCACTACTACTACTACTACAGTGAAAAAAAGCTATTTTTTGGGGGCTAGTAGTGTGTGCATCCAATTCCTTACTTCGGCGTGGTGATGTCACTGTGGGTGAAGAAGGAGGATGTAAACGGATCTCTCTGCTGGAGCGGTGGGTTACTGCAGATGGGGGACTGAAGAAAGGACGGGATGTATACGTTCCTTTTAGCCACTGGTGTTGCATAGCTTCGTCCACAGTCAGACGACAGCTAAAACATAAAGTGCAATCAAGTTTCTTCACAACTAATTTTTCTACATTCTATCGAATATTACTGCATTATCATCTCTCTCAATCATCAGTTTAACAGTAACATTTCATTATTCTTAATCCTTATTATAAATATAAACATTTATTTTTTCCTTACTTGCACAATATCAAATATTTTAATTTCCCTAAAGTAGCATTGTTCTTCATTTAAAAAAAATGTATTTTTGAATAAATAAATTATGAGGGCTCACAATGCACTCTATAATTTTAAATGTTCAAACTATATTTTACAATTTCCTTTGCACTAAATTAATTCATAAGACAAACCAGGATCATTTAGCATTAATAGACTATTTGGTGAACTTTGCTGATAAGTTGCAGCTTACAGGAGTATTCCGAACCAAATATTGATGGATTTCATCATGTGATTTTACTGACAACTACAGTGGTACCCCGAGTTTAGAACTGCTCCCAACTCGAAGAATTATGCAAATGTATTTGTGTAAGTGCATTTGTAAGCGTATTTTTGGGGGTCTGAAATGGAATAATCTAATTTCCATTATTCCTTATGGGAACAAATTCATTTGCTCCCATAAGTTCAAAACTCGGGGTACCACTGTATTTGTTTATTAAGATCAGCTTAATGTGTAAGAGTCAAGATTTGCTGAATTGTATGGTAGAAAGACAACATGTGCAGAGCAACCCTTTACTAACAGACCAAGTTTCTTTGTGCTGACTTCATGAAAGCTCAGATTAGAGAATTTTTTTTTTTTTTTCTCAACAAGTCGGCCGTCTCCCACCGAGGCAGGGTGACCCAAAAAAAGAAAGAAAATCCCCAAAAAGAAAATACTTTCATCATCATTCAACACTTTCACCACACTCGCACATTATCACTGTTTTTGCAGAGGTGCTCAGAATACAACAGTTTAGAAGCATACACATATAAAGATACACAACATATCCCTCCAAACTGCCAATATCCCAAACCACTCCTTTAAAGTGCAGGCATTGTACTTCCCATTTCCAGGACTCAAGTCCAACTATATGAAAATAACCGGTTTCCCTGAAACCCTTCACTAAATATTACCCTGCTCACACTCCAACAGATCGTCAGGTCCCAAGTACCATTCGTCTCCATTCACTCCTATCTAACACGCTCACGCACGCTTGCTGGAAGTCCAAGCCCCTCGCCCACAAAATCTCCTTTACCCCCTCTCTCCAACCCTTTCGAGGACGACCCCTACCCCTCCTTCCTTCCCCTATAGATTTATATGCTTTCCATGTCATTCTACTTTGATCCATTCTCTCTAAATGACCAAACCACCTCAACAACCCCTCTTCTGCCCTCTGACTAATACTTTTATTAACTCCACACCTTTTCCTAATTTCCACACTCCGAATTTTCTGGATAATATTTACACCACACATTGCCCTTAGACAGGACATCTCCACTGCCTCCAACCGTCTCCTCGCTGCTGCATTTACCACCCAAGCTTCACACCCATATAAGAGTGTTGGTACTACTATACTTTCATACATTCCCTTCTTTGCCTCCATAGATAACATTTTTTGACTCCACATATACCTCAACGCACCACTCACCTTTTGTCCCTCATCAATTCTATGATTAACCTCATCCTTTCCAAATCCATCCGCCGACACGTCAACTCCCAAGTATCTGAAAACATTCACTTCTTCCATACTCCTCCTCCCCAGTTTGATATCCAATTTTTCTTTATCTAAATCATTTGACACCTTCATCACCTTACTCTTTTCTATGTTCACTTTCAGCTTTCTACCTTTACACACATTCCCAAACTCATCCACTAACCTTTGCAATTTTTCTTTAGAATCTCCCATAAGCACAGTATCATCAGCAAAAAGTAACTGTGTCAATTCCCATTTTGAATTTGATTCCCCAAAATTTAATCCCACCCCTCTCCTGAACACCCTAGCATTTACTTCCTTTACAACCCCATCTATAAACATATTAAACAACCATGGTGACATTACACATCCCTGTCTAAGACCTACTTTTACCGGGAAGTAGTCTCCCTCTCTTCTACACACCCTAACCTGAGCCTCACTATCCTCATAAAAACTCTTTACAGCATTTAATAACTTACCACCTATTCCATATACTTGCAACATCTGCCACATTGCTCCTCTATCCACTATCATATGCCTTTTCTAAATCCATAAATGCAATAAAAACTTCCCTACCTTTATCTAAATACTGTTCACATATATGCTTCAATGTAAACACTTGATCTACACATCCCCTACCCACTCTGAAACCTCCTTGCTCATCCGCAATCCTACATTCTGTCTTACCTCTAATTCTTTCAATTATAACCCTACCGTACACTTTTCCTGGTATACTCAGTAAACTTATTCCTCTATAATTTTTACAGTCTCTTTTGTCCCCTTTCCCTTTATATAAAGGGACTATACATGCTCTCCGCCAATCCCTAGAGAAATGTGATCTATAAATAAAAGTGTCCTCTGCATGCAGTCTTTCACCTCATACAAGTTCTGCTTAATTTCTAAAATTGCTCGATGAAAAAGATGCCAGAATAGCACTGAGTGCAAACATTTGACCTTAATCTAAAAATATGACCTTGCTACACATAACTGTAAAACGATAAAACAGTATATAAAAAAAAACTGTACCTGGGATTGACAATCAGCAGCCGTGTGATGAAGTCAATTGCCTGATCTGAGACATTACAGAAAAGGTCCTTCGGGAAATCAATCTGACCTTGAGATATATTAAGAAACGTTTCTTGCTTAGTGTCACCACCAAAGGGTGAATGTCCGGTGAGTAAAACGTACGTCAGAACACCCACAGACCTGTAGGTGAAAAATACTTATATGCAAGATCAGATTGAAATTCATAACATGAATTCTAAGTGAAAATACCCTTCAAACAAGGTTCTTTGAGGGTCAGTGAGGGGCTTCTGATCCAGGGAATTGAACCTGGCCTCCCCTTTCTTGCATCAAACCTGACTGCCTCACATTCTCCTAGGTGTTGTACAACCTCCTACAGGTTTAGCACTCCCCCAATGAATATTTCTTTTTCAACACATCAGCTGTCTCCCACCTAGGCAGGGTTACCCAAAAGAGAAATAAACACCTTCAGGCATTGTACTTCCCACCTCCAGGACTTAAGTCCAGCTAACCGGTTTCTCTGAATCCCTTCGCTTAAAATAACTGAGATATTTGCTGTTTTGAGGTTATGTGAACCGCTGTATCTGCACACATTTGGCAAGACAGTAATAATGTGAATGGTGGTGAAAGTGTTTCCTTTTTGGGTCACCCTGCCTCAATGGGAGATGACCAGTGATAAAAAAAAAAAACTATGGTGTAAGACTAGAGATAGGGATGTAGTTTAATTTAGTTATATAGAGGTTTTGTATATGGAGAAGACTAATCTTACTGAAATGTACAGCAACAAAATACAGAAAAAAGTAGTATTTAGTGATGAAGAAAATTCAGATGAAACAACTGCTAGTAATCATGAAGGAATCTGAGAGAACGTCACAAGTAAAAGCTTTTGTAGTCAAATATTAAAATATGACAAGGAGTCTTGAGTATGGCAATCAATGCTTATGACATTGTTCCTAGTAAATTTGTAAATAAATTAATAATTCATAAAATTCTACAAAAAAGTTAATGAAAAGGGATGTGATTTGCTACATCTACTGTACTATACTCTACACAAATAACCCACACATAGAAGAGAGGAGCTTACGATGACGTTTTGGTCTGACTTGGACCATTTACAGTTACACTGACTTTGTAAACAGTCCAAATCGGACCGAAACGTCGCCATAAGCTCCTCTCTTCTATGTGCGGGTTATTTGTTTATCGTTCCAGTCACGGTATTGTGCCTTTTTTAGTTATGTACTATACTATTCAAGATGTCCAAATATAATTTGTTCAATTTGTATTTTAGACTAATAATCAGTTACAACGTACCACATGTCTGTAGCCAGGCTAATGGGTTCGTACTGCAAGATCTCTGGTGCTGTGAAAGAAAAATTTTATTTAGAAAAGACCTTTGCTGCAAGTTTAGCTGACAGCATTCATTCCAATTACAGTTGTTCTTAAAATCCGATGAAAATTTGTATTACGTATTAGTTGAGGCAAATCATCAGTTGTCTAGACTTCTTGGCAACCCCTTCTAGTAATTACATCTTTCACAACAAGACCACAAATTGAAAGTTAAACATTGATAATGTTTTAGGCTGTCTTGGACATTATCAGAGTAATGTGTTCTTTTATCAAACTGAATTTTCTGTTTACCTTATGATACTGTACTTTAGAAATGAAGACTTGTTAAATGAAATGAATACTATAGTACCGTATTACTGTTCCAATTTTTTTTCATGTGCATAGCACTCTTACTGTAATGTAATATCAAACTTTCAGACCACTGGTCTGAAAGTTGGATATTAATGTGCCCATTTTCAGACCACTGGTCAGAAACTGGGTGCATTACTGGATTATCAGCAATGTTCAGGGGTAAGCACCAGAATTTCTATGAAGGCATGAGGCATGCCAGATTACTTATGTCCTACAGTAAATAGGTTGTTAGACTTGCATCACAACTCCCATAAATCATAGTTATCCATTGTTTACAATGTAAATTTATCCATTTTCACACATTATACAAGTGCTCCTCGACTTACTATGGTTCAATTTTAAGATGGTGCAAAAGCAATTACTTGGGAGATGAAACTTAAGATAATTATCCAGCACAAAGGCACAAGTTTGTAACCTCTATACATTTTTTTTTTACTTTTCGATACTGGTATTTAGTTACAGTAATTATTTGTTTATTTACTTATTCAGTAACTGTAGTTATTTATTTATTTGTTAATTTAGCATATCATTCACATTCGACTTACGATGGGTTTGTAGAAACGTAACCCCATCGTAAGTCAAGAAGCACCTGTAAATTTATCCACTTTCACACATTATACTTCCACTTTAAACAAGTATAATTTCTAAATAGCTATCGTTACAATACAAATTTAATTTGAAGCAATATAAAATTCCATCTAAAAGAAAATCACCCTCAGAATTAATGTGCAAAGGGGCTTCCACTGCTCAATACCGTTTGATTATCTCAACAACTTGTCTGAAATGGAATTGTACAGGACGATTCTTGGGACTAACAGTAAACTTATGAAGTCAATAAGAATGGCTAAGAACAGCAAAAAGCTGCCAGAAATATCCAGTAAGTGGCTATGTGAATTCACTGATGATAAATGCATGGAGGTAAGAAAGTGAAGGAAAGGAACAACTGCTATGGTCAAAAAAAAAATACAGGAGGTCCAATCTAGGGATGGACATAATGATGAATCTATATCAGCAGGGGTTCACATACAGAATGCATGTAGTAGAGTTGCCAGTATAATTGCTCAGCCCGGGCCTTTTCCAAGTGGTGGCCCGGCCTTGGCTCCCTGTCGTGGGAGTCTCTCAGGCCAATGTCTGCCATGGGAGGAGGTACAAGTATCGCATCATCTGGGACCAGCTGTCCTCAGGCCTAGCCCCATTCCTCTCCCACACGGGGCTTGGAGGGAGATGCTAGGCACCTTGGGCTGTCACAAACCCCGCCCACACTGGGCTTGAAGGGTGTGGCAGCTTAATAGCAGCAGACGATGTCAGGAGGTGCAAAGGCAGCAAGCACTACAGGATCCTTTTGGAGCCACACCCCAACTTTGGGCCAAAGCCTGAGCACTGGGGTAGCTCAAGAATGCCTTTAGCTGTGTGTGTGTTTGCTGATGCTGCTACTACTTCACTTGTCTGTTGCACTCTCCTCTTCTAACATACAGATCAACTTCATTAGTGTATGGAACACCGATAAATATAAAAATAACCTTTCAGGAACCAGAACAGATCCCATTAGATTAATATACATATACCACACATGCAAGGGCTATACTGTAATATGCAGAAACAGTAGACAATTCATATCTCTAATGTGCAAGAAAGCTTGAGAAGGACCAGTCTACTGCCACCAAAACTGTTCCTAAAGGTAGAGAGCTAAGCTATGATGATAAACTTAAAAAGACTCCATTTTACAACATACAAGATTCTCAAGAGGTATCAATGAAGTGGATAAAGACAGAGATAGGAATAGGATGAGGGAAAACAACTGCTAAAATGAGTCAGATATAAGAGAAGGAATTCCTTCAACACAAACATAACGGGCAAGTGGAACGTTAGAAGTGGTAGGAGAAGTTAATTCCAAACATGAATTATGTAAATATGACAAAGGGTTAAATGTGAACAGCATCAGCATAGCATCAAATGATTAGTGAATTATTCATTTTATTGTATTAATTAAAATGCAATAAAGTCACTAGGGTCAAACATCCTTGCCAATTAAATCAGAGAAACTGCTAGACGGTTTATCCAAGACTGTACCTAAGAGATGGTAGTCACCCAAGTACTATTCATTAATATTCCCAACAAAGGTGGCTCAGCTTTATGGAAGAGTGCAGGAGATAGAGTTCAATCTTAGCAAACACAGTTAAAGAGGTTGCTGTACTTTTGTTAGTCTGCAAGAAAAACAAAAGCAAACAAACAAATAGAACAATGAAAACCAAAAATTGATGAAAAGTAACATACTAAATGTTCACTCACCAACATAATCAGGAGTGCCAAGAACCTCACGAACTTCTATGTCTGACAGAATGATGCGTGAAATGCCAAAGTCACACAATTTAACATCACTCTGTGGATGTTGTCCCATCAGCAGGAGGTTCTGGGGCTGTGGAAGGACAACAGTTTCACTATGGTATTAAATGCTGCCAATGGTCTTAATCTCTTATCTTAAAATATAAATGCCATCACAAAACCAATTACTGTATTAGAGGAAAAACAATTAGAACAAATGCTAAAGCAATTTAATTTAGCAGCAACATGAAAATTGATAAACTTTCGTTTTTCTTTTTGGGCCACCCTGCCTTGGTGGGATACGGCCGGTGTGTTGAAAGAAAGAAATGAAAATTGATATAAGTAAATTGTTTTACAATTTTTTAGCATGTAATATTGCCCTGCTAGATCAATAAACTCTGAAAATGTTACACGACTTTTGGCCTACAACTTTTCAGGAAAAATTTTACTCAGTTTTTAAATGTTTTAAACTGAGGAGGATTTGTAGTTTTTTTTTTAAAAGACAAATAATTTTACACACTTAAAATTTAATACTGTCTCTTGTGTGTTATCCAAAATAAAATGATTAAACTCAATGTTTTAAAAGCTATGTAATTTACTAAATACAGGAGGGCCCTGCTTACAGCAGGTTAGGTTCTGGGCTACTGCTGTAAAGCAAAAAATCACTGTAAAGTAAATCATAGCCTTTTTTTTTTTTACTTTCAAATGCATATAACAGCCTGATAACATGTTTGCACTATCATATATATATTAAGTGAGCAATAGAGCTAGGTGCAAAAAATGCATACACGGTACACACATTACTTACGTTAAAATATTTTCATCCTTAATTTATAGGGAGTGGTGAATATATTTATTGTAAGAATTCTGAATAAATGAAGAATGGGTATATGTGAAAACTGCTGCATTAGTGAAATTCCGTAAAGCAAAGTGCAGGGCCCTCTTATAGTCTGTTGTTTTTAGTACACTATATAAAAATTACTTCATACTTTCTAAACTAAATAATGGTAAACAGCTGCACTCTGTAAATTTATTACTGTGCATGCCATACAAAAAAATATATAAAAATATTAGATGTGGTTTACAGACATGCCAGAATGGCTGCACATTGTCTTATGTTATAAGTATGACTTGTGAAGGTCTCAGTAAGAGGCAAAATACATAGCACTCACAGCATTTTCTGTTACACTGCCTCCATACAGATTCATTTGTGCCACCAACTAGTGATTACTTTAAAATTTAGTAATATTTAAGTTGAACATGACCATGAAAAATTTGAATACAAATACCTTAAGGTCAAGGTGGGCAATATTGTTGGCATGTAGGAAGCGGAGAGCGCCAAGGATGTTGATCATGTAGCGGAGGACGACCCCCTCGTCCAGATTTTCTTCTTCATCTATTACCCTCTGCAACTCACCTCCCTCGGCCCTGTAACAATTGTAAATAAAGGATTTACAGCACACAAACAAAGGAAACAACATTCTTAAAAAAGCTACTATGAATATTCAACAATTATACATTTTTAAGAATGCAATATCTGCTCATCCCACTATTAAAAAGATTGCAAACTTTCATGGGGAAGCACTCAACCCTTAACAGTCACAAAGGGTTACAAGTTTTTCATCTATGCCAAGGCATTCCTCTTTATGGGTTTTGAACATTAATAAAAATATTTTAAAGTTGAGATAGTATAATTGAGCTTAAATCTGAAGTCCACTTTTTTTTCATCATAATCAGAACACTGTGCCGCATGGCTGCGTTATATAACAGTAATTATCTGTATAACAATAATTATCTAATGCCCCCATCACACAATTTGGCTGTTCTGACTCGTGAAACCTTCTAAATTCATGGAATTGGGCCCACCCCTTCTTTCTGATTAAAACTGATTACCCCTACACCTCCCATTGCCTGGTACTGTACGACCCTTAAGGGTTTGGCGCTTCCCAGTGAGAGGCTCTTCATTTAAAGAATTAAGACCTATCCTCCCCTTTCTTGGATAAAACCTGATGTCTCCCATTCCCCAAACACTGTACAATACCAATGGTTTAAATAATTCCCCATAATTCTAATACTTACAGCTCTAAGACGAGGATAATCTCCGAGGCAGTCTCATAGAGTTGGTGGAGCGAGACAATCCTGGAGGAGGATCTGGCCAGGAGCAAGACAGCAGCCTCGTGCAGAATTTCGTGCCTCACGTCCTGGGCTCTCCTACGTTTGCGCATAACTTTAGCAGCAAACCAAGTGCCAGTACGTAGGCACCGAGCACGGCGCACGGCTGCAAACTTACCCCTGCAAACAGACCAAAATTCATATTCTTAGCCCTGTCAACAGTGAAAAAATTACATTCTCAACCATGTACACTGAAAATATTACATCATGCTCAACCCTGTCGACACACTACAAAATTTACATTACTCACAACCCTGTAAAAATACATTTCAAAATTTGCATTAACACTATTTCACAAGGTATCCTTATAGTAGTTACTAGATTTTCAATTAAATCCTGAGAACACCCCATCCAACTGACTTAAAATTTTTAATTTTGGTGTAATGTACCTAGGGAAAGGTTTATGCAGCTACTAACATGTGACATTACTATTAGGCCACTTTTATATACCACAGACGATTCCCAGATTTGGTTTTCGAGCAATAACTTTTGAGAACCTCTTCTGATCAGCTTCAAACTTCCAAAAAGTGTTTCCTTGCTTAAAAAAAAAAAGATTAAGTTAGGTAAGGTTTGTCAGGAAACAGAAGCGTTTCCTGACGCAGATCTTAGTCAGATGATGACCCGCCGTTGGAGCTTTTGGTCATCTGACCGAGACCTTCCGCTGGCTTACCCCTCCACCCCTTTAAAAATTACGGTCAGTTATAACCATTAGTTCTTAAAAAAAATTCACGTCACCTCTTCCAAGCGACATTAATTTTTAATGGCTGATGCATTCTGTCCACCGGATGTTACCCAATAAACTTGTGTTTTGTGAATATGATGGTATGCAATACCGACAAGTTTATAATAAAGACACATGTGCACCAGTTAGGTATCTATTCCGAAACATTTCGCCTACGCAGCAGGCTTCTTTTGGTGCCACTGTACTCAACTGAAGCAGTAGAGATGTGAAGACGATGGACGGATTATATTGTCTTCACATTTCTACTGGTTCTCTTGCCTGTATTCGACTGAAGAAACCTACTGTGTAGGCGAAATGTTTTGAAATAGATACCTAACTATTGCACTTGTGTCTTAATTATGAACGTGTGTTTTATAGATTCAAGTCTGCCAATTTAAAAATATGGTTAATAAACCTGGAAATGCTTAATTCCGAATAATAATTAGCAACTGTCTTGGTGGGTTTTGTTCCAAAGAAGGTCTGCATTTATTTTAAGGTCTACCTGGAGGGTATTCCGGGGGTCAACGCCCCCGCGGCCCGGTCCACAACCAGGCCTCCTGGTGGATCAGGGCCTGATCAACCAGGCTGTTACTGCTGGCCGCACGTAGTCCAACGTACGAACCACAGCCCGGCTGGTGTAAGTTTAAGGCGTGTACATTTAATTTGCCAATTATATTAGCTTCCATACAATAAATGAAGAATGCTTCTTCCGATCGGCTTCAATCCCTAATGCTGGTGTATCTTACATACATTTTTGAAATCTTGGGCTGTTTAGGTACCAATCTGCTAATTTTATTAAAGCAATTGTTGAAGATCGAGATAAGAACATAAGAAAGAAGGAACACTGCAACAGGCCTACTGGCCTGATGCATCTTACATAAACAAAGCTTTGGATTCTAATAGCTTCTCGCGATAAATTTAAGACCTGTTATTTTTGAGGCATAAACGGTAGGAAGAAAAAAAAAGACGGTAGGAGGGAAGAGGGAGGGACCTAAGAACTAAAAAAAAAAAAGAAGAACAAAGATTAAAAAAAAAAAACTTAGTATTATTAACGGTGAAAGAGATTGGTAACACAAACAAGGTTATGTAGGAGTAACGTGGAGAGGAAGAGCTGTGTTGGCACAGTCTCCGCCTCGTACCCTGGGGGAGGACGGGTCAGCAGACGACAGGTCAATACTACGCCAATCCCACCTCCCCAGCCACACTTTTATGACGAAAACCCAGAGCTCTTATTCACACCCTCTTACTCTTTATTTCCGCCCACCTTCATATGTCTCATTTTCATCCTTATAGCTTGCCTGTATGTCTCTTCTTCATATGTTGATTTTTTTTTGTGACGCGCTAAACCCAAGGGGTCATTCTGTCGTGGAAGTGAGGCATTAGACATATGTAACACCTGGGTATCTTTATTTGAACACGTATCGCCAATCAGTGGCTTTATTATTTTAATACAGAAGTAACTGAAGGTGTTGAAACTGGAGATATTACAAGACGAGGTAATCAGTCCCTCAGCCTTGCAAAACTAGACAGAAGACAGTGGAAGACGAGGTAGTCAGTCCCAGTCATGAAAAAATAGACAGAAGACAGTGGAAGACGAGGTAGTCAGTCCCAGTCTTGCAAAACTAGACAGAAGACAGTAGAAGACGAGGTAATGGTGTCTCAACCTGTAAGTAGGTGTTCAGTCTTCATGAATCTGAAGTATAGGCAGGAAGATGATCTCTCGTATACCAAAGTGAGAGGAAATGCAGCAGTTAAGTCACGTCAAATCGTGGAAACAGGTCATGTCCAAGAACTGGGCCAGAACTTAGCAAATAAGTCGTAGGGAATATCCTCTTTATCAAGATTCTATGGTGTTGATGTGTCAGACAAGTTTCATTATAGTAATGGTATAAATTGCTGTCAAGATGTGGGTCTTAACCCGCTCACGGGACATTGAAACTTATGACGGCAATATGGCCGTCATAAGTTCCAGTATTATGTATGGTGTGTGGGTCTTGTATGCCATTATAGTAACGAGATGAACCCTAAGAAGTGTTGTAGGCTCTGTCCTCCGTCCGTTTACTTGCAAGTAGTATTTTCTGACGTTTGTTGACACCATAAATGAAAGGAGAAACTTGTATAGTTCTAATAAAACGGTAGTGACCAATTTAAAAACGGACTGGATTACCTAAAATTTTAGGCAAGTCATATGAACATAAGATTTAATAATAATAATAATAATAATAATAATAATAATAATAATAATAATAATAATAATAATAATAAAACATACAATACGACTGCAACGATTTTTACAAATTCATAGTATAAGTCACCTTTCACCAATAATCATTAAATTCTTTCACAGAAAATAAACCCAAAAAAAAAATCATTCGGAGAGCAAATCATGATAATTTTACACACACACACAATATATATATATATATATATATATTTAATATATATATATATATATATATATATATTATATATATATATATATATATATATAAAATAATATATATTTATATATATATATATATATATAAACCGCTTAGAAAAGCGTATACGTTGTAACCATGAACGCAAGACTGGCATTACTACGAGGCTGTATTTTAGTGACGACACATTACCACAAATTACATTTCCAGCCACAACTTACACTGTATGGTATTGCAGAAACACGAATATTTCCACACATGTACAGGGATCAAGGTCTTACCAAAGAAAATTGGCCAATAGTAATTTGTATTAGTTTAGTGTTAACCTATTATTATTATTATTATTATTAACGGAGAAGCTCGAAATCTACGAGGATCGTTTAGCTCCTGGAAACCGAGGTAGTCAGACTTTATCAGACACTCATTGAAGACAAATAAATACCTTAGCACTACAACTAGGCTGTGATGGATGTGGGACTGTGGGCCACAAACAGTATGGTTGACCAGGCAAGCACCAGACGAGTCTGGCCCATGGCCGGGCTCTGCGAGCAAAAAATCTCTCTGAACTCAAAGATACAAACTTGACAGTGAAACACCCAACAATACACTTCCAGGAAGCACTGGGATAATCTCGATTATAAAATGCTTCGTTCACATAATGAAGCTTGTTTAATATATTAAAGGATCCTAATAACACGATAATGAAATATATACAACCTATAAAGGATTTCCTCTGTCGGACTGACATTTGAGTTAAAAAAAAATTGAATCTGAACAATATTCTGAATTCAGCATATCAGAAATTCAGTGACCAACAATTTACATTATAACTAAAAGGTAAAAGTTTACAATTAACACAGTGGCCACCAAATATATTGAGTGTGTATAGGAGGGTGGGTGCGTCCGAGCGTTGTCACGATTCCAGCCAGTGTCAGTTTTATAGGCGTTTTGGTACCACGAAAACGAGGTAGTTTGTCTGGAAATAGCTTGTGATAACTTTTTGTCGTTCAGCTTGAACCTTGACGAAATTGTTTGTACACTTTTGCTTCGTGCTGAATGATGTTGATTGTTGAGTAATCCAACAGTTGCTCGACAACACTGTGGAGACAGAGACGTTCACTTATATAAAATGAATTTCCTTTTCCCCACTATAACTCAAGAAGATCTGTGATATTTAGAGATTTGTGTATATTCCATATCAGTTTATTGTATGGCTACTGGGATCCATCACTTTACACTAACTTGGTCTGGAAAAAGTGGTGTTTGCGAAGACTTCATGATGACGATGAAAGGTTTTTGATTCAATGAAATGGAGGCACCCTCCCCTTCCTCGGATAATTTTTTTTTCGAGTTCTATCTCCACAGCCCGGCTTGAATAAAGGCATACTTGACTATTTGGTCAACCAGGTTATCGCTGTTAACGGCCCACAAATCTACAAAGTTATCACATATGTTATTGATGGTATACAATAACGACAAGTTGTATTCGTCTGAAGCCTACAATGCAAGCTAACCGTTTCGGCAATATACTGAAATCCAGTGATATAAATGTTTCTTATTCATCGATCTAGTCATCACAACCTGGCTGATCAAGAACTTGTATCTGGCAGTCACCCATTTTTCTCAACATCGAACTTAGTTTGACCAACAATATCTTCTAAACCTGTTGTTAGGTAAGACATATGTAACAGTTAGGTATCTTTATTTCGAAACGTTTCGCCTACACAGTAGGCTTCTTCAGTCGAGTACAGAAAGTAGGCGAAAAGTTTCGAAATAAAGATACCTAACTGTTGCATATGTGTCTTACCTAACAACTTGTCGGTATTTTATACCATTTCGATGTTCATCTTCTAAACCTGAAATTCTACATGATAAAACTGCTAACTTTCTCGTGCCAATGGTTCCTGAATTATGCCATTAGGTAAATAATGAATTTGAATGTCATAAGAATAAGGGTAAGGCGATTTCACGATCCCCGA